ACGGCAGGGAGGTTTTTCAAGCATTCTGGACGTCGAGGTATTCGGGCGTCCGACGGCCCCGAAACGCCTTCTCGACGGCACGGTGCGCCATCTTGGGGCCACTCACATCCTGCCGGCTGCTGCCGCAACGCCGGTGTTTGCCGCTGCGGACGGGGTCCTGTGCAACGAGGACCAGTGCCCAGACGCGGGCGGCAAGTCCGTGGTCCCCTGCGCAGTGGAGACGCGTGGCCGCATCGACTGCCGCCTGTCCTCCCTGCTGGACGAGCTCGCGGTCCTCGCGTCGCAGCGTCGGCGAGATCGCGGCGTCCTGTCCGCGCGCTGGGGGCCGCCCTAGCGGGCGCTCGCCAGCGTCAGGCTGGCCATGGGCGTGGCGCGCGCGCTGCTGGACGCGGCGCCCGTCCAGCGCCAGCCCTGCGGCGCTGTGCAGAGCAGGGCGCGGAGCAGGGCCTTTGGTGCCCGGGCCGAGGGCCAGGCGGGCCGCGCTGGCGCGGCGGCGGCGCCGGGCGGGCAGCCCGCGCTCTCGTTTTCCCCCTCCTCCTCCTCCTCCTCCTCCTCCTCCTCCTCCAGCCAGGTGTGCTTTATGTATGTATGTATGCATGCATGTATGTGTATGTATGTATGTATGTATGCATGCATGTATGTATGCATGCATGCATGTATGTATGTATGTATGTATATATGTATGTATGTATGTATGTATGTATGTATGTATGTATGTATGTGTACAAATGTATGTATGTATATGTGTGTATGTACATACATACATACATACATACATACTTACATACATACATACAAACAAACACACACATATATATATGGAGAGAGTTAACACAACGAAAGAGAGAGAGAGAGAAATATAGATAGAGAAATAGAGAGAGAGAGAGAGAGAGAGAGAGAAAGAAAGAGAGAGAGTGAGAGAGAAAGAGAGGTGAGAGAGACAGAGAGTCAGGACAGCAGTAGGTTCGGGTTGCTTCATTTGCCTCGCCCCTCTCCTGGCCCTGGCCCCCATGCCTGACTGGCGCGACTTCGACGGCCTGGCGCGCCCTCGCCCGCCGCCGGCGTGCGCTGTCTTCGGAAATGGAGGATCGGGTATGAGGCTAGTTGCGGGGGTGATGTGGGGCGTCAAGGGCCCACTTGCGTTTGCTCATTTTCTCGAGGTGAGATCGATCAGAGCTCCGTGTCATGAGAGGAGCCTCGATCCCCTCATGTCGCCCGCTTGCGCGGGCTCGCGGCCTGTGGTGGCACGACTTGCCGCGACTCGCCCCCGGCAGTAGCTGCTTGACAGTTCTTTCGTGGACATCCGATCCGATCCGATCCTCCTCTTCCTCCTCCTCCTCGCCCCCCTCCTCGCCCTCCCATTCCTTCTCCTCCTCCTCCTCCTCGTCCTCCCCCTCGTCGTCCTCCTCCTCCTCCTCCTCCTCCTCCGCCCTCCTCCTCCTTTTCCTCCTCCTTTTTCCTCCTCCTCCTCCTCCTCCTTTTTCCTCCTCCTCCTCCTCCTCCTCCTCCTCCTCCTCCTCCCCTTCCTCCTGTTTCCTTCCGCCCGTCCGTTGTCTCATTGCCCCTTCTTCCGGACCTTCGCTCCTCGCGGCCGTCGCGGTGCTGCGCCTCGGGCCGAGCGCGGCCTCCCTGCGTCGGGGGTGAAGGGTCTCGCAGCTTCGGGACCAACGGCCTCCGTCTGGACGTTGGCCCCTTTCCTCCTCCTCCTCCTCCTCCTCCTCCTCCTCATCTTCCTCCTCCTCTCCTCCTCCTCCTCCTCCTCCTCCTCCTCCTCCTCTCCTCCTCCTCTCCTCCACCTCCTCCTCCTCCTCCTGGTCCTCCTCCTCCTCCCTCCTCCTCCTCCTCCTCGTCCACCCCCCCTCCTTCTCCTCCTCCTCCTCCTCCTCCTTTTCCTTTTCCTTTTCCCTTTTCCTCCTCCTCCTCCTCCTTTTGCTCCTCCTCCTCCTCCTCTTCCTCCTCCTCCTCCTCCTCCTCCTCCCTCCTCCTCCTCCCCCCTCCCTCCTCCTCCTCCTCCTCCTCCTCTCCTCCTCCTCCTCCTCCTCCTCCTCCCTCCTCCTCCTCCTCCTCCTCCTCCTCCTCCTCCTCCTCCTCCTCCCTCCCCCCTCCCCCCCCCCCTCCTCCTCCTCCTCCTCCTCCTCCTCCTCCTCCTCCTCCTCCTCCTCCTCCTCCTCCTCCTTTTCCTTTTCCTCTTCCTCCTCCTTTTTCTTTTCCTCTTCCTCCTCCTCCTCCTCCTCCTCCTGCTCCTCCTCCTCCTCCTCTGTTCCCCCAAGCGGTGGAGCGGTGGCCAAGCGCTCCAGGGGGCCAAAAGGGTATCCCTGCTTCTCTTTCGTCTGCCGTGTCCCCCACCTCGTTTTCCCCCCTCTGGCGGCCCAGTCCCTTCCCTGGCGCCTCCTCCTCTCATTTCCCCCGCATGGCCAGTCTCCTCATCCGTTTTTTCCGTCTTTCCCTCTGCAGCACCCCATTCATCCTGCCTCCTTCATATGGGCCCATTAGTTTGTCCCGCTGCCTCAAGGTCTTTGGGTGCGAGGTCGCCTTGAACAGCCCCGGAGGTTCCGGGTGGCGCAGCGTGCCGCGTTCTCGCTGGCCGGAGGCGGCTCCGACATGAGCCCGAAGGGGCAGTGCGGGAAGGTGCTGTGCATGGGTGGGCGGCTGCGCGGCTGGCTGCCAGTGCGAAGCCGCGTGCCCCGTGCGTGCCCCGTGCGTGCCCTGCGCTTACACCAGTCGGGCGGGGCCCCAAGGGACAGTCCTCCGGGGCGCCCCTTCGGGGTACCATCCGCTAGCCCGTTGCGCTCCCGTAGGCCCTCTGGGGTGGTTGGCGCTCGCAGCTTGCTGGTCCTGCTCCGAGGGCCCCCCTTTCTACAGACAGTCTGAACATGCAGTCCTCCTCCTCCGCCTCCTCTTCCCTCCTGCTCCTCCTCTCTGCTCCTTCCCTCGCTCCCTCCCTCCCTCCCTTCCCCGCGCCCTCTTTTTAGTTGGCCCGTCGCCGTCGGCCCAGGCCCAGGCTCTGTAGCCCAGATCGTCGTCCGTTCCTCCTTCCCTCTCCTCCCTCCCGCTCTCGAGGAAGAGGAGGAGGAGGAGGAGGAGGAGGAGGAGGAGGAGGAGGAGGAGGAGGAGGAGGAGGAGGAGGAGGAGAGGCTGGACTGGTTTGGAACGCTTGCGACCCTGATGAATCTCGCTGCCTGCAACGCTGTACAAACTGACATGTGATATGTCGAATTATTTGCGGATAGCACGGGGCTATAGCCTGCAGCCTCGCTGGCGGGAAACCACATGGCCCACAGCAGGACCGTCCTATGGGCAAGTGGCCCGTGACGGTCTGCTTGAGCACCATATTCCCAGCGGCAGGCTTGCAATGGAGGAGAGTCGGAAGTCTCCCCCAATTTAATCCTAGGCCACAGCCCAGCAACGACACGACAAGGTAACGAGGGGAACGACGGGCGGGAAAGAACAGGACACCGCAAACACACGCACACACGCACACACGGAGGCCAGGAAAAGGGCGAGAGCAGGGAGCAGGAACGGTCGCGGGAGGGAGGGCGGATACGAGGAAGGAGCAGTAGGCAGCGGAGGGGGCTGTGGCGTTACGTGCGAACTCAGGTTCAGGATAATGAGGCTCAGACGGTGGCGGAGGAGAAGGAGCCAGCAGCGCACTCGAGGCTCATTCCCCTCTAGGGGAGCGACTGACCTTCCAGGAGCGCTGAGCGGAAGGCAGTCCAAACGACGAGGCCGCTCGACTCATTGCATGTCGTTGAAGGGACGGGGATTGGGTATTGGAGTGGTGGGGACGGGATCGCTTCGCATTTTTAAAGGGTGGCTTAAATCTTGAGCCCGTGGCCAGGGTGGGTGGTTGGGGCCTGGGTGGTTTTTGTCCGCCGGCAGGGCGGCATAAATACTGCCACCGCTGGTTTTGAGTCTCCACACTTGGGGCCTTCCGTAGGGGGGGGCCCAGACGGCGCTGCGGGGTTTGACGCTCCCTCCCAGCGAGTCGATCCGATCACCTGGAACCCTCCCCCTCCTCCTCGGGGGCATCGACTGCGGGGGGGGGAGTGGCATGTGGGCGGGATGCATCGACCTCCAATCGCCTCATGGATCGCCGATAGGGGGCTGATGGCCCCACCCCGCCCAGGAAGGTGCGCATGCGCTGTCCCCCTCGATCCTGCCCAGCGTACCCCGCAGATCCGCTTGGCGAGGCCCCGCGGTGCTGCTTGGGCCCCGTGGGGCACGCGTTGCGCCAGCGACGCGCGAGGAAGGTGCGCACTCGCTGTCGGGGGCCCATCGCCGATCTATCGGCGACGTGTCGCCGTTTCCGGGTCGCCGTGCCCCCCCCCCCCCAGTGCGAGTCACTTCCGCACCGCGGCCCCCCAGGCAGGCACGGGGGCGGGGCGCCCCGCGGGCTCTCCGCCCCGGCGGTGCACCGCCGGCAGCTCGGCGGCATGGGCCCCGACAGGGACCCCCCGCGCCTTCCTGGGCGGGGCGGGGGGGCCACGAGACTCGTGTCGGCGATCCATGGGCGATTGCCGCACCCCTGAGGAGGAGGGGGAGGGGTTCCAGGGAATCGGAGCGACTCGCTGAGAGGAAACGTCGAGCCCCGCAGCGCAGTCTGGCCCCCCCCCCCCCCTGCACCCCACGGGGAGGTCACAAGTGTAGAGCCCCAGAGCTGGCGGCGGCAATGTTCGTACACCCCGCCCTGCCCATCGGACAAGACAACCACGGGCCGACGCGTCCCCCCTATGCCTCCCGCCTCTCCCCCCCCGTCCGCTGCCCCCCCAGAGATCCAATGTCGTCATTTTTCAATACGGGGTCCCCGGAAGTCTCGACCGATTCCCCAGGACCGGCTTTTCACCCTGAATCCTTTTTTGACGGGCCCGGGGCCCGGCGAGGGCCCCCAGAGGCCGAAACGTGCGGATAGCCTCCTGCTTGCCTTTTCCCAATGCGTTGGACCTCCTGGGCCTCGGGCACGCGGCGGGCGGAGCGCCCGTTGGGCCCTCCCTCCCCGCGAGGAGTTCTACCTGCAGCGGCTGGCCAAGGCGGAGCCCGCGGCGGCCGCCCGGCTCGGCGCGGGGGCGCAGGCGGGCCCTTCCGACGGCGCCGCCGGGGGAGCGCCGAGGGCCGGGGATGCTTGAGGCCTCGGCGGGTCCTGAATGGGGGAGCCCCGGCCTTTTCCATCGACGAGGCGACGGATCCCGGGTCTCCTCGATCCCGGATGGTCGAGGCTCGATGGATGCTGGGTCGGTCCTCGGCGGATCCTCGACCTGCCATCGATCCATCGATCGGCTTCGCTCCTCGATCCTGCGCGGTCGAAAATCGATCGATCCCGGATCGATCCTCGATCCTCTATCGATCCAGAAGGGCCCGAGGGCCAGGGTCCATCGGGGTCAGGAGCGCGGCGCGCACTGCGCGAGGGGGTGGCGTTCACTCTGGCATGTCGCTCCACGGGAAGGACGTCCGGGGGTAGCCAGAACGGTCAGGTGACGTTTTTTTGTGTCGCTGTTTGACCATCCGTTCTTGCCCGACCAGTGTATAGTTTCCTTCCGCAGTCTGCCTGTCGGAGGACACGCCCAGCCTCGGGGTCGCGCGAGGGGGCGGCCCCTGTCAGAGTTCGGAGGGCTTCCCAGGAGGCGGGGATCTCCTTCCGACGCCCTCCGGGCATCCGAGGCGCCTTCTCGGGAGCCTCCCGAGCAGGCCCCTGCCCTCTCAGGAGCCCCGTCGTGTCACCCCCTCGTGCGCGCCCCGCCAAGAGGATCAAGGAGGGTCGATGAGGATCGATGAGGGCCGAGGAGGGTCGAGGAGGCTGGACGAGGGTCGAGGAGGCTTGAGGAGGGTCGAGGAGGGTCGAGGAGGGTCGAAGAGGGGCGAGAAGTGTAGAGGAAAATCGAGGATGGTCGAGGAGGGCCGAAGATGCTTGAGGACGATCGGGGTCGTCGCCGCGAATAGTGTCGAGCATTGCAGAGGAAAGTCGAGGATGATCGGAGTAGGATCGGGGAGGTTCGAGGAAGATCGGGGTCGTCGCCGCCACCGAGAGTCGACACGGTCCTCTCTGTCCATGTGAGGGCTCTTCTCTTCCGAAGGCCTTGCGGCCACTGCCGCCGACTGTGAAGGCGGGACCTCCCCCCGGACGCCCGCTGGCGGCTCCCCCCGTGGCCCGCCGGGACCCTTGTGACCCATAAGAGCGCCTCCCACCCCCGGCAGGGAAGGGATGAAAGGACGGGGCTTCTCTTCGACTCAACTACGACATTCCTTTTTCCTTTTTCCTCAATTTCGTTGGGACTGACGACGACGACGACGATGACGACGACGACGACGACGAATGGTCGTCGGATTTTTCTTCATTTTATGTTTTCCCCACCTCAGGTGTGGAGTCCTCGCTCAGGATATGGTACTTGCTGCTCCTCTTCTCCTCCTCCTTTCCTCCTCTCCTCCTCATCTGCTTGCTCACTTCTCATCCCCGTCCCGCCTCCTCCCTTTCTTCTCCCTCTCCCCTTCCCTCTACCAATCCTTGTCTCTCTTCCTCTGCCTCCTCTTTCTCCACTTCCTCTCTCCTTCACCTTCCTACTCCCTTCTCCTTTTCCCCTTCCTGGTCCCCGTCCTCCCTCGTTCCTCGTCTCGTCGTCGTCCTCCCGCCCCCCCTCCTCGTCCTCTTGCTTCCTCTTCCCTCCTCCCTCTTTCCTTAGTCTCCTGCCTCGTTGCCTCCTCTCCGTTTCTCCCCCCCCCGCAATTTGTGTTTTTTCTTGTGCCTCTATCCTTGCCGATGCCGATTTCTTGTGATGAGGATGACAACGAATTTGAACATATTCGTTGCGGAGTGGGGACGTCGTTTACCCGTTGCGGTGCTCAAACTGATATGTAGCATTTACACGGGGGGCGCGGATACTGATAGCTACTTTTAGGGAAATATGGGCACTCATCATGACTTGAGGGCGTAACGTGCGAGTGAACAAAATTTCATGATCCGCTGGAGTATGGTTCCATGAGAGGATGGAATGCAAGGTGTCGTTCGGCTCAGCACTGACAGTTGACCGTTGTTCTCCATGAGGTAGCTACAAACATTTACATGTAAGATGGCCACGCATCATCAACATATTGCTGTGACCATCGCTTGTCACCGAGCAAGTTTGAAACACACAAAGCACCAGCCGTGTGCAGACAGGAACTCGTCAACCATCACCAGTAGACGCCTGCACGAATCATGAACATACTATCTAGACATCGTATCATCGGAATCTTCTGTGCCCAGCGAGCAGGCGGAGGCATTGCATGAAACATGACAACAGGTAGTAGCGTCATCTTTTCAGGAGAAGCCTCGACACCACGAACCCGTATATTCAAAGCCCAGTGCACCATTCAGCCGAAGCTCGCTATATACATTATTATTCGCAGCCCACCGGAGCATCATTGGACAATGTCACATGGTTTCATCGGCTCTGATCACGACAGGTGGTCCTTCGTCTAGTTCTACAAAGTTGCCAGACGATGTGGAGATGAATAAGCAGCCATCGTTTTTGTCGGCGGATCCCTGGTTGAATGAGATCGGCGGAGGTAAAGCAGTTCAACGCTGAACCAGCCGGCAGGTGACACTATTTGAGTTCCTGGCGAGCGAGACAGCGAGACGTAGCGGGGGAGGAGAGAGAGATATGGAGAGAGGGAAAGGAGAGAGAGAGAGAGAGAGAAAGAGAGAGAGGGAAAGAGAGAGAGAGAGGGATGGATGGATGGAACGAACACGGATAGGGATGATGATGATGATGATGATGATGATGATGATGATGATGATGATGATGATGATGATGATGAGGATGAGGATGAGGATGAGGATGAGGATGAGGAGGAGGAGGAGGAGGAGGAGGAGGAGGAGGAGGAGGAAAAGAAGGAGGAGTACGATGCTGAGGACAACCAGGACAAGCTCGAGGACACGGAGGATAATGACGAGAGGAAGGAGCTTTCGAGGGAGAACGGCGACGAATTTTGCGCATGAGCGCTGGCGGAGCGAGCGTCGTCCAGCCACTGCTCTAGAGTCCGCCGTGAGCACATTCAATCAACAGTTGACACCGTCTGTTCATGCGGAAAGGCAACGTTTGACAGTCGCTACAGTGTAATGTTCGTTATCAGTTGATGCGGGGGGAAGAGAACACACAGCACGTCGTCGCAATACATGCATTTGACTATGAACAAATTGTCACGAAACAATTGAAGTTTTTGATTCTATGAATGCCGTGGAGCGCGAAGATCTCACCGCTGGCGCTTCGGCGTGCGCGTCTTGACCTTCTGAGCAACATGCATCGACCGGGGTCGTGTAACCTAGAGTTCGCAGCGGTGTGCGCGTTACGCCAGCAGCAGAGACTGCACATCAAGAGTTGGTAGCGCGCGCGTCGTCTTGGTGATGCAGCTCAGCCTGTCCGGACGCGACCGCAACCGCTCCGCCGTTTGAGCACTTGACGTATTCTTGCGGATAGCGGCGGGGTTTCATGGCGCCAACATCGCAGAGCGGATTATAGGATTTGCCCGGAGTGTCCTGGAGAATTTCGTTCTGGATTTCGAGGTGAATTTCGTGTTTCTTTCGGCTAGGAATGAAGACTAAAACAATCCGTGTGAAATTCACTTTTTTTCGCTTGCCGTTTCGGAGTTTAACTTTGACAGAAATCCACGCACAAATCCGCTGCAGCACGTCTGCAAGGTCGGCGCAGTGAGGGGTTAGGCAGCCAGGATCTGGTTCGTCTTGCCGCTTACATGTGATACTGCTCCCAAGCCATCTCCCACGTGCCGGTGCGCTTGCCGCTTTCTTGATGCCTCTGGCCGCAGGCTGCCCGCCTGCGTTGCAGCTCTGGCATGGCGCTGAGGCGAGAGATGTGGACTCGGGTGATCGGCTGCCCCGATGCCCCCCCAAAAGACAAACCAAAACAGAAAGCAAGCACCGAAAGCAACTAACAGGCATACAACAAACAAGGGACACAACAGCAGCGTACCCACAAAAGCAAACCACCCAAACAAAAGCACAAACAGCGCTTTCCTCACTCCGAGCACCGCTCCCGACCCTCGGCTGGGGCCCCGGGGCCCCCTCCCGGCCGCCCCGGCCCACGCCGCCCGCGCCCGGAGGGCGCCTTGACTGCCGGCGAGCTGGGGCAGACTCCCTTCCGGGCGAGCCAGGCAGCCCGCCGCCCTCGCCGCCCGTCGGCTGGAGGCCAGGCCGCAGCAGGAGGGCGAGGGTCTCGCCAGGGGTGTCGGAGGTGGACAGACCGGACAGACCTCGTACCCTGACACGTCGATTAAGGAATGGGCCGCTTTCGGTTCGCGAGAGGGCGTCGCGGCCGTCATTGTTGCGGGTCCAGGTCCGTCGGCTTCGGTCCCAGGCCGTTTTCACTAAGGGGAGGTTTGCTAAAGTGAGGTTTGTCCACCGCCGAGGGTGTGCTCGCGTCCTTGCCAATAGGCCCCAGGAGGCCCCCAAGGGGCCTCTGGGGAGGCCCACAGAAGGCTCCCAGGAGCCCCCACAACGACTGGGCTGCATTTGGTCCGGACGCGGACCTGGCAGAGCGAGAGTAGCCTCGCGGGCGGGATTCTTTGCCTAGCGTTGCGAGATGTGCGCTGGCAAGACGCCTCGCAGACGCCTCCCTCGGCGAATCCCAACCCTCAGCCCTGATCCATGGGCTTTGGGGGCTGCCAGCCTCGGCCTCCAGTTGGGCGTCCAAGGATTGCCTTGCGTTCTTACGATCCTGTCGCACCATGTCGCCTACCGCCTGTCCCCTGTTTTGGTAGAAAATCATGGGAGTCTTGTATACCCTCTCAATTCCGTCTTTAGCGTCGGTTAGCGTCTGGGAGTCGCCGATTTAGCGTCGATTAGCGTCGATTAGCATCGATTTACTGTTGGTTAGCTTCGATTAGCGTCGATTTAGCGTCGATTCGCAGGAGCCGACAAGATGGTATGTGAGGCCCCCATGAGGTGCCACCGAACCTTTTTCCAGGCCGCCCACATGAGGCTGTCTGACTTTTTTGGTTCTTGTTGGGCCCGTGGAGGCTTCCATATGCCTCCCGCAGAGGCTTCCATATGCCTCCAGAGGTCCCTTTGGGACTTCTGGAGACTTCTGGACCCCCCAGAGACCCTTGAGGCGATGCGGCTCGAGCCTCCGACCCCATCGTGCGAGTGAGTAAACACCTAGAGGGACGGCATGTTTTCATTGCGGCTTGGTCAGCGGCCAGGGAGGTGCATGTTCTTCGCGAAGTCCAGCGCTTCCTGCACCGTCTGGATCTTCCGTTCTGTTCTGTCTAGCGAAGCATGCACGGTCTCCACATCCTTATATGCAACATGGCTCCCCAGCGCCCTGCTGTTTCTTGCCCTGGGGGCCGCGTGCAGACGTTGCAGAAATGGTGGGATTCCAACGGGCGGCCCTGCCATACATTCGCGTTAATTATGCAACCTCCGCTGTGCGCGTGCTCCAGCACACACGTTCAAGAGCTTCATCATTGCAGAAATGGTGGAATTCCAAAGGGGGCCCCCCTGCGGGGGGCTCGTCGATCCGCTCACGTCAATTGTGCAACCTCCGCTGTGCGCGTGCTCCAGCACACACGTTCAAGAGCTTTGTCATTGCAGAAATGGTGCAATTCCAACGGGGGCCCCTGCAAACCGCTCGCGTCAATTGCGCAACCTGCTCTGTGCGCGTGCTCCAGCACACACGTTCAAGAGCTTCACCATGGCAGAAGGAATTTTAGCGGGGGGGTCTGCCATTCGCTCGCGTCAATTGTGCAACCTCCGCTGTGCGCGTGCTCCAGCACACGCGTGCAAGAGTTCCATCATTGCAGAAACGGTGTAAGGCCATCTTGGGCCCCCTGCCGTCCGCTCGCGTCAATTGTGCAACCTCCGCTGTGCGCGTGCTCCAGCACACACGTTCAAGAGCTTCATCATGGCAGAAGTGGAATTTTAGCGGGGGGGGCCCTGCCATCCGCTCGCGTCAATTGTGCAACCTCCGCTGTGCGCGTGCTCCAGCACACACGTTCAAGAGCTTCATCATGGCAGAAATGGTGGCATTTTAGCGGGGGGCTCTGCCATCCGCTCGCGTCAAGTGTTGACGCTTCGCGTATCCCCACCAGCTGCGTTGCTTGTTGTAGCTAATTAGCCTCGCCTGTTGGCCCAGACGACGTCTTCCGCTCCCTGTCCGCCGCCTCGGAGCCGCCGACCAAAAAAGTATCCCCACCAGCCCCTGTACCGCCGTCCCGGACACGCTTGTTGCCGCCAGACCGCAGTCGCGCGGCCGCCGACCAAAAAAGTATCCTCACCAGCCCATCCAGAAACGATCAGCAGGGAAGTCGATGAATCAGGGGCGGCAGGACGCATGCAGTTGCGCAGCCGCCTTCGGGAAAGCAAGGATCACAAAGAGCTTCCCGCATTGAAGTTTAATCTTGAAATGAGTGCAAGCTACGATGGTGCTTCGATGAGGGGTGAGGGGGTGTTTCGATGACTCGTAATGACTGTTGCACTGATTTGTATCTTAAGCTCGCGTGCGTTTCGAAACTTGGAGCCATTTTGGGGCTCTCTTGAGGTTCTCTTGGTGCCCTCTTGGGGCCCTCCTGAAGCTCTTTCTTGGGGCTCTTTTGAGGTCCTCTTGGGGCCTTCTTGGAGCCCTCTTGGGGCTCTTTCGGGGCGTCTTGGGGCCCTCTTGGGGCTCTTTTGGGAAGTCTGTGGGCCTTCTTGGGGCTCTTTTGGGATGCCTGAGGGGCTTCCTGGGGCCGTCTTGGACCCTATCGCTAAAAAAGACGGGTATCCTTAATTCTTGCCCCCCCACTCGGAGGTTCAAACATGCCGTCTTGGGGCTCTCGTGGCTCGCTCTTGGAGCGCTCTTGTGCGCTCTTGGGGTCGTCCTGGGGCCCTCTTGGAGCTGTTTGGGGCCATCTATGGGCCAGCTTGAGGCCTCAAGAGCCCATCGGAGGCAAACAAGCGAGAAAGCACACAACGTTGATGTTACTTAGGTTTTGGAAGGATTTTGGCCTCTTGGGGGGGGGTCCTTGAAGGCCTCGGAGGGCACTTGAAACCATCTTGGGGCCGTCTTGAGGCTTCTTAGACGTGTGTCGGAGGCTACCTTGACCCATCTACCGCTATCTTCGACCCTCTTGGAGGCCATCTTGCGCTCTCTTAAGCCCTCTTGGAGCCATCTTGGACCAACACGGACCCTCTGCCACCTCGCAGGGGAGCCCGTCCAGACGCAGGGAGGGGGGGAGGTAAACCTCCCGAGCAGGGAAAGGCAGGAGGTTGGAAAAGGAAACGCTCTAGACCACCTGCGCCCAGAGGGCTGGTGGGATTGTACAACCTCCGCTGTGCGCGTGCTCCAGCACACACGTGCAAGAGTTTCATCATTGCAGAAACGGTGGACGGCCAACTTGGGCCCCTGCCGTCCGCACGCGTCAATTGTGTAACCTCCGCTGTGCGCGTGCTCCAGCACACACCTTCAAGAGCTTCACCATTTCAGAAACGGTCGAATTTAGCGGGGGGCTCTGCCATCCGCTCGCGTCAATTGTGCAACCTCCGCTGTGCGCGTGCTCCAGCACACACGTTCAAGAGCTTCGTCATTGCAGAAATGGTGGAATGCCAACGGGGGCCCCTGCCATCCGCGCGCGTCAATTGAGCAGCCTCCGCTGTGCGCGTGCTCAGCACACACGTTCAAGAATTTCATGCTCAAGAACTTCATGCTTTTGAGCGTGTTCCTCGCCCACTTCCGCGCGCTCGTCACATCCGCCCCCTGCTGTGCCCGATTTCGGCCCCGCGGCATCCTGCGGCCGCCTTCGAGCGCGGTGTGGATCCTCGCCTGCTGCGACCGAAGAAGTCCACTGCGCAGGATTCCAGAATGAGCTCGTACATTTGCCTTCCTCGAAGTCGTCCTCAAGGATGCCGACTGCCGCCTCTATTCTTGCTCTCCTCCCCACGCTCGCACCCGCCCTCTGCGGTCCCAGGCTGGTGGCCCCTTCCTCGATTCGCATGCTGACCTATCGGCGCTTTTCCGCGCGGAGCCTCGTGGCAAGCGTGCAGCGGGAACGACGTGTGAGGACACTCCTTCTTGCCCAATCCAGGAACTAGAGGAGCAGGATCCGGAGAATCAGCTGGGGCAGGAGCAGAGACATGTGCAAGCAAGGGCAAGGAAGGAGTACCTGAGGATGAATATGCTAATGCCGATGATGAAGGCGATTGCTGTTATCGTCATCGTTGTGATGATGAGGAGGAGTAGGAATATGAGGAGTATGATTTTGGTGGGGCAGGGGTGGTGGCGTCGGTGGTGATGGTGGTGCTGCTGGTGATGATGACGACGACGACGACGACCACGACGCGACGATGCGACGATGACGATGGCTAATCATGATGATGATGAGGATCATGATGATGACGACGACGATTCCAAGGATGATTATGATGAAAATAATGGTGCTGCTGCTGCTGATGATGATGATGACTGATGGTTGATGGTGATGATGATGAGACTGGCGACGATGTCGATGATGATGTTGATGATGATGCTGATGATGATTGTGAATGATGATGATTACGATGATGATGATGATGATGATGATGATGATGATGATGATGATGACGATATGATGATGATGCTGCTGATGCTGATGATGATGCTGCTGATTATGATGCTGGGTTATGATGCTATGATGCTGATGATGATGATGAGAAGGAGGAGGATGATGATGACGATGATGATGATGACGATGACGATGATGATGATGCTGATGATGATGATGATGAAGAATATGATGATGATGATGATGATGATGATGATGATGATGATGATGATGATGATGATGATGATGATGATGATGATGATGATGATGATGATGATGATGATGATGATGATGATGATGATGATGATGATGATGATGATGATGATGATGATGATGATGATGATGATGATGATGATGATGATGATGATGATGATGATGATGATGATGATGATGATGATGATGATGATGATGATGATGATGATGATGATGATGATGATGATGATGATGATGATGATGATGATGATGATGATGATGATGATGATGATGATGATGATGATGATGATGATGATGATGATGATGATGATGAGGATGATGATGATGATGGTGGTGATTCTGATTCGGAAGACTTGTATGACGACGATACGACGGTTATTAAATCG